TAACTTCGCATTTATTATTTAACTTCTACCTCGCGAGTTAAGTCCCTTTTCGTCATGCATACTGATATTGTGATCTCCTTTAAATCTTTTTGGAGTATGATTTTGTGTCGGCGGCACGTGACAGCAGCCGGACATTTTACTATTAATTATCACGAAAGACAAAAGGGAACATAAGATCGAAAACTACTATTTCCTTTTTGAGAATTACTAAAATTAGGTGCGGTGGTTGTTTAAAAGATGAAAAAAACCCAAAAAGGGAAACCATACCATCAGAAGCTTAGTTAAGGCGTTGTAAATGTAGAAAAAAAGGAATATCCATATCACTAGCATTTTATATATGCATGGATACTGAACTGATACTGATGACTTAAAGTTAAAAAGAAAATACTTGTAGAACAGATTTTAAACTTCTTCAGCCTTAATCTATGCGATGCACCCATTTTCAACTAAGATGGTCCATTGAAGATTTTTCTCATGCCAGTACCAATTCCCATTTCCAAGAAAACGTTCTATCGCACTTAATAACTCAGAAGTCTTTCTCAAAGCAGATCATAGTTTTCAGGAATTCGAGTCCCATATTTCTGTTCCATTTTTTTTTGTTTTTTTGTTTTTTTGTTTTGTTTTGTTTTTTTAATTTTTTTTTTTTGTGTTTTTGTTTCGTTTTGTTTTCTGGTTTTTGCTTGTTTTTCGTTTGTTTGTGTGTTTGTATTTTTCTTCTGACGCATTATTATTCTGCTCCTATCATGCTGCTTCGTGGCATATTTGTGAAAAGGATACAACCGGTATCTGTTAGCGTACAAGCACAGCTCAAGCCTAATTTCTTACAGGCGCCTTTATCGGATGAGGCATCAAATTCAGTTTACCAGTGACAACAAATGCGTCATCATCCACTAGTTAAAATATATTCCAAATCCATTTGTGATCAATTTCAATCACATAGGGCCACATAACCAATTAATGCCGTAGCATTTTTATTTCCCTCAGCACAAAATGTTTAAAGGTTTTTTTTGGATGCTCTTGGTTTGCGAAACATTTTTGGGAGGTTCAAGCACTTTCTTTGCTTAGCATTCATCTTAAAGTACATGTTTGATTGACCATTTGGAAATGGTAGGCAAAGGCTTTCATCTAGTCTGCCAGATTTACCAAATCCAAACGCAAGATATTCATATAAAGTTTTTTGCCCTAACGAAGGGCTAACGCTCGAAACGTCAGCTGTAGAAACTCTTTACGGTGGCCAATTTACGTAATCAACTCAGCTGATATAACCAAATTATCTTGTAAAACCCCCCTGTCGCTCAAAGTTTTAACTTATCTAGTCAGTCCATGTATATGCTTACAGTCAATATCTATTGTTTTACTCTCGTCCTTACGACAGCTCAGTTTTAGCTCTACGAATAACAAAAAGCTAGAAAAAAAATCACTTAAAGCAAACCGACTTATCTTCTCGACAAATTGTAAGAGAAAACCTTTACAAGTACGAATTCAACTTTCCATATTAGCTGAGAATGGGTGGGGCTGGGTCTCAATGATTTTCCCATTCTTTCTCTAAAGCAAAGCTGATTATATAAAACAAAAAAACCTGATAGAGGTACCTATATGTTTAGCACTCAGCACTTTCACCTCAAACCTGTAAATTTAGATCTCTGTAGGGTTCAGGTCCCGCCCTCCAAAAGCACGAGCAAAAAAGTTCGAAGTAGCAATTAGGGCTAAAATAATGCTAAATATGGCTTCTAGCGTGTAAAAATGAATATCAAGCTAGACAAAAAGATTTTGATTGCTATATTAGAGGAAGTTCCCTCATATGAAATGAAGTAATATCCTTTAGTTACGCAAACCTCCCCTACTAAAGAAAAAAAAACCTACTATAGGCTAGTTAGACTTGGCTTCATGAGGCTACATCTTGTTCAACTGGCTCGTTGCCTCTATACTCGTGCTCTATCCCAACTCGTGTTTCACCGCCTTGAAACTGAAAAAAAGTTGATTTAAAAATAATGAGCACACTGTGTTGCTGGTAGTGCTAGTAATTACACACAGCCACAAAACTTAGTGACAAGCATCTGGTGAGCGAGTGAAATTTCTCTGCTTTACTGAGGGTAATTGAGGTGAAGCTTGAATGATATTGGAAAATTTAAGTGGTCCTTTTCCAAAAACCAAGCAACCTGAGTGATTGCAGTAAAAATCATCCAGAATCGGCTCTCAATAATGCATGTATGGTTACGTAACATGTTGAATCTCAACTCTCCAGCCTCATTTTGCAACATTTTCTTAGAACATCTGCTACTTTCCTGATGTCTTTGTGTGATTACTCTTTGTGTTTAATTTCTCTCAAAATACTTAGCCATTAAAATTCACCACTCAGCATCTTGAGAGGTAACATTGGATTTTCTGGGTAGGCATAAACGCATAGGGGTGATTATTGAGAAATTCTTGACACAAAATCGGTTTCAATACATATAACTCACCTTAAAAAGATTCACGGTCATCTCTTCTATCTCCAAGATCATCTCTCCAACTTCATTAAGTAATTTTCCTTTCACATTCATTTTGGAGGCGTCACTGACTGGCATGGTGATGACGACATTCTCTGCCATTTTCATGTGATCGATCTTCTTTCTTTCAATCTGGAAAATAATGCAGGATTGGTTACACACTTTGTTGATCTATTACAAATTGAACTGCAACAATGGTCGTTTTCTGTTAGAAATTTAAACCAATGTCAAATGCCTTCAAGGCGAATAGATGTGAGCAGTTTTTTATCATAGCCTGAGAGAAAGGATTTTGTAGAAGACTACTGAGATAGCCAAGGAAAAGTGTGGATAAATCGTGATTATACAATGTCATTAAGGTTTCCGTTTTAAGATATGGCCATCAACCATTTTATCTGGTGGAACTAGATCTGAACTTTGATGGGTCAAAACCATGAATTAACCCTCAAAAAACCCAAAAATTATGATTGCGAGTCATTACCTCTCCGTCAGCGTGAAAGTCCCCCAAGAATAACTGTGCTTTAATGTTTTCCCCTTGTGTCTTCTTCCATCGGAAAATCTTTGAGTATATCTTCATTATGTTTTGATCACGTTGCTTCTCCTATGAACAGTTCATAAAAAATGGAGAGTTGATATGCTGATGCATGCTGTAGTCGCAGGACACGAGTTTAGATCTATGGAAACTTGCTAAGGGATCCCTTTAACTACAACTTAACACTTATTTATTTCCCAAAGTTGATGGATAAGAGAGTCATTTAACTTGTTATGACAGGTTTAACTGACTGGCTGTCTTACTGGCTAATTGATTATCTATAGACATCCTGTCTGTTGACTTTCCGAATGATACAGCATAAATTTTAGCACAAGTAACTCTGGAACGAGTGAAAAAAAACCAGTGTGCTGGATGTGAAAATGATAGATTTAAGGGGGAAGTAGTCGGGCTAGTCTATTCCAGGCTGTACTCGATCTTATTAAACCAATATAGAACTGACTGACCAACTAACTTGTAGAATGACTGATTGACTGACTAACTGACTTGCTGACTGACTAACAGACTGGCCAACTTCCAAAATGGCCGACTAAGTGGCTGACTGGTTAGTGAAACGATAGATTGTCTGATACGCTGACTGTGCTGAAGTACCCGCACTTACTCGAAGAATATCTAGGCGGCCAGAATTCTCCAAGGCCTTTGTGACGTACATGACCAATTGATGCAGTGATCCTGTTTCGCCATTTGTCGCCGATCGCACATAACTGAAAACATCTATCATGTAGTAATCGTCATCGACGCAAGACTCTTGATCGCGCAGTGGAACGTTATCGGACATTGTAATTCTGTGCACAGCTTTTTGACGTTACTTCTATAGTGTATAAACTGTAGCCTTAAAAAAGGGAAAAAAAGAAGGCATAAAAACAAAAAAGGTTATAGAATATATTTGGAAAAAGGAGTAGGGCACATATATCAAGTCTGCGTTTTCGTGTTGCACAGAAGTTGTCAAAAATTACTGGTATTGCAAAAAATATCATCGATACCTAAAATTGCCGAGCTCTTTGACAGAGTCCAGCAGCAAGAATATCGTGTAGCTTAAATCTGGTTCTCGAATTTTCTTTGAGAGGATTCCCACAGCTGAATGACTATGGAATTTCTCGTCCTTATAGTATTGTATATGTCGAATTTAAATTCCGAAATGAACATTCATACTACATAAGATAGTCGAAACTCTATTCTCTGTGGTGATTCAAACGTGCTCTAGACAATAATTTACATATATTTTCGGAGAGGCCACGTGCGTGTGAGTGTTTGTAAATATTGCCTTTTTGCACGAATAGAGTGGTTACTTTTGTATATATTCCAATAGTCAAAACGAAATCCCGTCTGTTGTTTTCAATCTAGTGCAAAACTTACTATCATTGCGGGTAAATACTGATAATAGGCGTCTTGCCACTCCAGCATTGGAGGTGCACTCTACTCTGCAGGCTAGATACTCTCTGATCAGGAGGGTAAGGAATCAATCTTTCTCCTAATGGTCAAGAAATGCAGTGGACCCCTGCTAAAAATGTTGTCACGGTAACCTTTTAATATGTTTACAACATTCGAAAGCACTTGACGTTAGGGGGTTTCCCCGAAAAAAAAAAGATTGCACCGTAAGTACTTTCGATTACGTGTGTAAATGGACACAAAAAGATATTGTCTCGTTCACTATTCACCACGATGAGTCATAACTGATATTTCTATCATAACAACTTATCAAATAGAATCAGATGGATGAAAATTAATGCTTATGGTGATTCTTACCCCTAGTCTTTCCGAAACCAAGATAGTGTATATGCGTTCGATTCCTTCCTGAAGAATCTTTGTATTTGTCTTTGATTCACAACCGATAATCCGATCCTGTCACAGTTTTTTCTTCGAAGAACCTCAATATTAAATGACTGTTCAAAAACCTTGCTCCCCTATTCACGCTGAAAAAAGCTGCTAAGCACTCGTTCACTTGTTTTATGAAACAAAAGCGAGCGAAATGCCTAATGGCGGCGACTGACAAACGTTGCATTGATTAATTTATTCTATTTCCTAGGGCAGGGGGTTTCCCCGCTGCACTTTTGATTTTAAAAAACTTTCACTTCAAAATTCAACACTTTTTTGGGGGACCTTTCATCGCTAATCAGAGAAAATTATTTGCTCACACTAGGAGTTGAGAATGTTTTCCCTGTTTTCTTTTTAAATGTATTCGATAACCCAGAGACTTCGGCTTCGGCGAAATAGCTTATCTTGGAAGACATATTTGAAAAGTACGCTGTAAACGTTTCTCGATATATACCCGATAGACTTGGCGCCATCGATATTGAAAACGTTTCCCTAAGCATTTCTGGAATTTTTTTTTATCAGAGTTCATGGTTTGGATGATTTCTTTAGTGATAAAAATGTGCTTTATTGCATTTTTTGTTTGCGTGGGAAAAACCCCGGATTTTTGTTCTTGTTTTCGATTTATTTATTATTTTATTTATGAAGACCTGTTTCAAATCATGTCCTTCACTTTGGTGCTTTCGACAGATTCGATAAAATCGAAGCACAACTTGGAAAAAGATAGTCAGTTTGAGAAACTAAAAGCTTATAAGAACCTCAGGTATATATTTTGGTTATTTTTAACCTCCGCAGACGGCGACTGCATGACGGTTAGTGACCTGCTTGTATTATCTTTCATTGGTGGTCTCTGTTTTCATTTGTTATGGAAACTTTTGCCTCTGTTTTTCAAACTTAATGCACCTTCAGAGCTCAAATGGACATAGAAGACTACTTCGATTAGTAATCTTAGCAACATTTAATGTCCATCTGTTTTTGTTTTCATCTCTAGTTTAGCTGAAATATGCTTTTTCCTCAAATGTTGCGTTAATTAGGGAAAAACCCCTTTTCGCTTTCATTTCCTGTTTGGGTTAAATAAAGGCGACACGTACCGGCCAAACTCCTTCCACTTGGCACGAATCAAACAGCGCAAAGAAGGAAAGAGATGTTTGTGTCGTTGAAACCATGTAAAGCTCAAGAAAAGGCAAAAGTCAGGCCCAGCAGCAAGAATGTGTCCAGGTAAGACGATGCACATAATTACAATCGACCGAAGCATAAATCTAAAAACATCGCCTCGCACAAAAATTAACTTAGAAGTTAGACTGTACCTTGCAAATAACAAAAATGCTGCATATATCAAAAATCACCGGTGTATCACCCGAAATTCAAAATTAGTAGACATTTTTGTCTTCGATAACCTCATCGCGGCTGCGCTTATTTGCTATTTGCTAACATATTGAAAATATGTTGAAAAGAAAGATCGAGCTATTTCCAATTTATCTGTAGCTCTAAACACATGATATGATTTTAACCTTTGTGAGTAAATTTTTTCAGCAGATATTTGCAGCGAACACTTCCGATCCTTTGTTTTTGTTTACTTGTTTTTCCTCTGACGCGGCGCAGGGTGTTTTATAGTTGTTTTGTTCGTTCGTTCCTTTGTTTGTTTGTTTTCTTTTTTTTTTTCATGTAGAATACTGAAGGAGCTCAATTTACTTTGGTTCATTAGTATGAGTGACACTTCTGTCAATGGGGTATCATTTTGTGTCATGACTGATCTAAAGCACGTTCGTTCACGGACTCATCATCATTCTCATTAAAGCCTCAACCATCACCATCTTCATCGTTATCATTATCATCATCACTGTCACCACCGTTATCATTATCACATCCATCATCACTATCATCGTCACTGTCATCATAGTCATCATTATCATCAAACAAACAATCTATATATAAATCAATCCATCTAATCAACCAACGATCTATCAATCTTTGATACATTCAACTCTTTACTTGTTCATCTGGCTATTTTAAAGTCAGTTCATCATTCATCTCCTTACCTTTTTCTTTAGTGTTGTTTTCTTGTTTTTTGGACTGATGTTATCTCTTTATCTTTAACAGCAGTGATGGTCAGTGGCCGTTACGTAATAGTTCAGAATGGGTGCATTCCTCCGCAGCCCATTTTGATGGAACACTGCTGTTTGATGGTAGGGGGGAACGACTGGGATATTCATGTGAAATGCCGGCCACATTTCAATCAACGTAAGAAAAGTAAAAAGTGGCGAAATATTAAAGAAGTGTATCCTGATGCTAAGGTGGAGACAAAACATAACGATATCCGGCTGACGTTGCCAGTGCTAAGACAAAGTCTCGAAGTGGCAGCCTTTGGAATTCCAGGAAAAGATGACCAGAAGCGAATGCAAATGGCGATCTTTGGGAAGGAGCCAACCAAAGCCTGTAACTGGGATATCCGAGTTTATCTGATAGATGATTCCGAAATGGCGTTCAAGGTAACACATTTACCCCTGATCTGTATTCTACCAATTTGTTTTTGCATAGGATTAAAGTTAAGTCAAAAAAAGGAAGAAAAAAGAAGACAAACTAAAGATATTGCCTGAATGATCTTTCTGAAAAATTTCATCCTCTTCTTGAATCATTCTTTTGAATTTTTTACAGCATTTCTCTCTTAATTTAGTTTGTTCTTTGCTCAAATAAGTTAGTTTAATTTTTTTAGTACGTTTGTTTGACTTGTTTGTTTGACTTGTTTGTTTGTTTACGTTGTCTGTTGAGTCTGTTCACCTTTTCCCTTTTATTCAATTTACAGCAGATTTGCAAGAAAGTAGAAAATGAAGAAATGAAATTTTTGACAACACTGTCCAGCTTGTTTGTATCCAACAGTGAGAAAGATATCAGCATAGAGGTTACTGCCGTGGCTTCAGGGTGGCACATCATAGGGGACTATAAGAAAGTAAGTTACTCTATAGAGGGCGGGTGTGTTGTTGGATAGTATGACTTTCAAAGATAACTGACACTAGAAATAAGAGTTATTTTTATGGTAAAACACGCACTTCAGCAGCAGATAGTGCCTACCAACGCATTAATTTTAGGACGCTGATTCCAAGATTCTGAACTTTCATATAATTCTCTAGGGGATAGCTTCAAGAAGTGCCTGGAATTCCCAAGAAAATACCACAGATTTTCCCCGTTGTGATTTTTGTGTGAGTCACGATGATATAAAAGAACGGCAGTTCTTCTGTAAAATGAGAGCAACACACGAAAACGACAGTGCTGGCAACGAGATTGTGGCCTTTTTCCAACAGGTAAATAAACTCATCATAATCTTTACTTTATTCATGTTGTATCTTCACGGTTATCGTAATGCTATCGACTTTACGAAGCAATTTACAAAGGAGAAGCCAAAGTATAAATTACTGGCTAGATAACGACAGTAGAAAAGAATTAAGAAATTGCTAGAACATCGATCTCAAAAAGTGAGATTAAGTTATTTCCTAGTTTACTTGCAAGTGAAAACAACTCGTTTGGAAGAACGGTGGTTCAAAAACAAAACAAAAACGAAGACAAAACAAGGGAAAAAAATAATAAAAAAACAGAGGCAGAAAAACTGATAAGGAATAAGTTTTGCAACAGCAACTGTCGGCTAATATAAAAGCTAATATTAAATAAGCGATTTATCAAATCTCCCTACTTCATTCTACAGAAAAGTGATGCCAAGATCAACAACCCAACTGAAAAGAAGTTCAAGAACACGCCGAAGATGAACTGTTCAAAAGGTTAGACATATTTAGTCTCTTTTTATGATTGGACAAAATTGTATCATTATGCTTTCCAGGTCAAATTTACCTGCAGGTCCCCCAATCATATTTAGTCAATGTCTTTTAGTTATCCTTAGGGTTAAGGAGAGGAAGGGGATTTATTCAGATTGAATAGCCTCGCCATACTTTATGAGAGCCGAGCCTACATTGTGATTATAGGATGCATAGTGATGAATACTAGAAGATTTCTGCTGTTTAATAGGTAGGGGTTGTTTGGCTAAAAATCTATCAGCAGCTTCGTTAGTTAGAAGTGAAAATTATCAAACTGATAAACCTTTTGCTGAGGAATTTCCCATTTAATAATCGATGCATTCATTCATTAATTTATTCGTCCATTTATTTATTTATATCATCAGAATTTAATGCTACTGGATGAAGTCTCTGGAACGGATTGTCATTTTACAGCTTCCTACCAAGCCTCGCAGCTTTGTATTAACATTATGATTTCCACCGTCTAGACACGCTCTCGAATCTCTAGAGATAACAAAAAAGGCATCCAATTAAATGGCAAAAAGGACGGATCTAAACTGCTTTGAATTTATCTTTGCCAAGTTGGAAAAATAGCTAAAAAAAACTTAGATATGGAATGCACGAGGCAAATTAAAACGCAGTGGTTAATTTTCTTTTTCTGCCAATTTTAGGGACCAAGCCTAATACCTCATTTAAATCTCTCAGAATCTTACAGGCAGTCAATTAAAAGCCAAAGATTTCCAGCCGTCGAAAGTTTTCTTGTTTGACTTTTGTTTGACAACTCTCTTCTATGTTTTTCTTCCTTTTTCTTTTTTGTTTCTTTGTTTTTTTGTTATTATAATAATTTTTTTCAATTTACCGCCTTATTTTATCTATACAAATTATATACAGTGAACCCCGTTAACTCGAATTGCCAAGGGAAACTGAAATTACTTCAAAAATAAAATTCTGGATAATGAAAAAGTCCCTAAAAGTTTTTGCCTTTCACCCTTTCGAAAGTTACAGTTATCAGGAAAACTTAGTAAAGCTGAAATGTATAATGTGTGAATTCTGAAATAATAAAGGCGTTCTGCAAAAGGTCTTAGAAATGATGGTTTTAAATAATAAAAATAACGATGATAGTAATAATAGTAATGATAATGATGATGATAGTACACACGGATGTCTGATTTTCTACACTGGTGCCCCATTAGACACCAGGGTCTGATTGTAGACACTATCGTCCGATTTTATACACTACTGTCTGATTTTATACACAAGTGTCCGACTTTGTAAACTAATTTCCAATTCTATTCGCTAGAGTCTGATTTTATATACAAGTATCCGATTTTATATACTAGAGTCCGATTTTATACACTAGTGTCCGATTCTAATCACTAGTGTCTGATTTTATACAAGTGTCCGATTTTATGTATTAGTGTCTGATTTTATATACTAGAGTCTGATTTGTTATACTAGTGTCCGATTTTATTCAATTGTTCAATTTAATATACTAGTGTACAATTTTATATACTACCGTCCGATTTTATACACAAGTGTCCGATTCTATTCACGAGTGTCTGATTTTATACAAGTGTCCGATTTTATGTATTAGTGCCTGATTTTATATAATAGTGTCTGATTTGTTATACTAGTGTCCGATTTTATTCAAGTGTTCAATTTCATATACTAGTGTACGATTTTATATACTAGTGTCCGATTTTATACACAAGTGCATGATTTTATACACCAATGTCTGATTGTTTACACAAGTGTCCGATTTTAGATACTAGTGTCTGATTTTATGCACTAGTGTTCGACCTTATCCACTAGTTTCTGATTTTATACACAAGTGTCTGATTCTATATGCTAGAGTCCCATTTATATACTAGTGTTTGATTTTATACACTAGTATCCGATTCTATCCACCAGAGTCTAAATTTATACACAAGTGCCCGATTTTATATACTAGTGTCTGATTTGATACAAAAGTGTCCGATTTTAGATACTAGTGTCTGATTTTGTACACTAGTGTCTGATTTTATACACTAATGTCTGATTTTGTATAGTAGTGCCCGATTTTATATACTAGTGTCTGATTTTATACACAAGTGTCTGATTTTACACACCAATGTCTGATCTTATAGACAAGTGTCTGATATTATACTCAAGTGTCTGATTCTATCCACTAGTGTCTGATTTTATACACCAGTGTCCGATTTTTTATACTAGTGTCTGATTTTATACGTTATTGTCCGATTTTATGTGCTTGTGTCTGATTTTATACGCCAGTGTCGGTTTTTATCGACTTATGTCTTATTTTATAAACTACTGTCCGATTTTCTATGCTAGTGTCTCCTTTTATATATAATAAAATTCGTCAGTATCCGATTATATACAGTAATGTTCAATTTTTTACACTAGCGTCCGATTTTATATACTAGTTTCCGATTTCATACACTAGTGTCTAATTTTATACGCTAGGGTCTGATTTTATTTACTAGTGTCCGATTCAAGTTAGTAGGGTCCGACTAGTACTGTAGACACCAATATAATGTCCGATTATAGACCCTTGAGTCCGATTTGTGACACTGAAGTCCGATTTTGGAGACTAGCGTCCGATTTTAGACTCTAGTTTCCGATTGCAGACACTTGTGCAGACCTTTGATACTAGTTTCCTTATTTAGAGAGTTGTATCTTTCAGCTATTTTCCTTTGTAGAATGCCTTACTTTTGAAACGTCTGCTTTTCATTTTTGTTCCCAGTGGCTTTTTTTTTTCATTTTAACTCAGATGATAAAGGGAATTTATTCTTTAATACCCACACTGACGCAGCACTACTATTTCTTTAGAAACTCCCCCCCCCCCCCCC